CCAGAGCAGCTGCAAGTACCAGTGCACCTGCCTGGACGGGGCGGTGGGCTGCGTGCCCCTCTGCAGCATGGATGTCCGCCTGCCCAGCCCCGACTGCCCCTACCCACGCCGGGTGAAGCTCCCTGGAAAGTGCTGCGAGGAGTGGGTCTGCGATGAGGCCAAAGAGCAGACCGCTGTGGGACCTGCTCTCGCTGGTGAGTGGGAGTCCCTCTGTGGACGGCGGCCTGGAGGGAAGGGGCACCTTGCATGGAGGTTGAAGGCAGTGGGATGGGTTGACACAGGGTGCCCAGGCAGCTGGAGTACTGCGGTAAGCGGAGTCACCCCACAGATGAGTGTAGCTGTCCGAATTTCTCAGGAGAAGGAAGAGAGTCTTCAGCAGAGCATGAGGTCAGGCGGTGGTCTCATCTCGGTTGTCTGTCTCTGCAGCTTACAGACTGGAAGACACTTACGGTCCGGACCCAACAATGATGCGTGCCAACTGCCTGGTGCAGACCACGGAATGGAGTGCTTGCTCCAAGACTTGCGGCATGGGCATCTCAACCAGGGTCACCAATGATAACGCCTTCTGCAGACTGGAGAAACAGAGTAGACTCTGCATGGTCAGACCTTGCGAAGCAGACCTGGAGGAGAACATCAAGGTAAATAGTCTCATCTTTATGTATGATCTACTAGGATGCTTCCATCCACTAGCAAAAATCCTGTGTCTTACCAAAAAATGTGCAGTTCTGACAGGTTGTCAGATTCAAGTGGTTTACCTTGAAACTAGTTTTGCCCCAGTGGTGAATAGTTTACAATTAAATATCCTTAATTTTCTCTCATGCTGTATTATGGCACTATGTAAGACACTCTTGCCTAATGAAAATACAGTAAAGATTAGTGTGTCCGCTTGCCCTTAGCTTGCAAGCTTAGTGCTGTGTGAAAGCCTACCTTCTAAACATTTTGTATTCACTTACATCCTAACAGAAAGGCAAAAAGTGCATTCGCACCCCCAAAATCTCCAAGCCCATCAAGTTTGAGCTGTCTGGCTGCACCAGCGTGAAGACCTACAGAGCTAAGTTCTGTGGTGTCTGCACTGACGGGCGCTGCTGCACACCCCACAGAACAGCCACCCTCCCCGTGGAGTTCAAGTGCCCTGATGGGGAGATCATGAAAAGGAAAATGATGTTCATCAAGACCTGCGCGTGCCACTACAACTGCCCTGGAGACAATGACATCTTTGAGTCTCTGTACTACAGAAAGATGTATGGAGACATGGCATAAAGCCAGAAGGAGACGCTAACTAGATTTGCAACTTGAACTGATTTGCATCTCATTTTGTAAACATGATTCAATAGCACAAGGTATTTAAATCAGTTTTGTTTTTTTAAATTTCAACAAACTGCTCCATGTGACTTAAGACAATTTTTCTACTGACCCCAAATGGTGGTTTGAAGAAGAAGGTAAAAACAGACGGTGGGACCACAGCAAGACACAGCTTCAGAACACATTGTTCGTGAGGTGATGTGAAGGATTAAGGGAAGTAGGCAGGAAAAGCAGATTCAAGTAAATGTTCCCTTAATGTGGTAGGGCGTGCTTCATCTAGTAGTGCAATTGTGAAGGAGACCGTTAGCACGTTTGCTGGCACTGGTTTAGTGACAGCAGCAGCTGGAATGCAAACCCTCCCCCAGCAAAGTGCTAAGTAGAAGGTGTTCTGTTAGTCAGGACAGTAACGTTTCAGCTCTGACACTCTGATTCATATGGCTTGGTCAACAAGAATCAGAATCATGTCTATTAGACTGGACAGCTTGTGGCAGTTAATTTACCTGTAACAAGCTACTTTTTATTAATATTGTAAATACTGTGTGTATATATATTTGTACAGTTATCTAAATTAATTTAAAGTTCTGTGCCTTTGTTTAATGCTTTGACATTTCAATGGTAGCCTTCTTTTTTTGGAACAAGATAGGTAGGATTTAAAGCTTGTTTGACAATGCATTCAAAGCATGAAATAGATACTCTAGTGGAAATTGTTCAGGTGGGGCCAAACGGTGAGTCGAGATCAAGATGGAGATTGTTAACGTTGAGGTGCCTGTATCCTTGCAAAGCATTCATCTGGCAAAATAGATTTACTTCCACTGTTTTGAACAAGTGGCTTTAAGAAAAATGGCTCTTCTGTAGCTCATCAGTCTTTCCACTCGAGCATTTGTTTCTCTTTGACTATGGCTCTTTTTGGACAGTTTATTTGTTGAGAAGTGTGACCAAAAGTTACATGTTTGCACCTTTTTAGTTGAAAATAAAGTATTTATATTTTTTATACAAATGGCTTGGTATTTCATTTACCTTTAGTCTTTGCTGTTACTTTACATATTCCGGAAAGGGCTTGGCTTTGCACTGGATGAAAATCAAGTAATGTGTGGTGGGGTTTTTTGTCCAGAAGCACCTACACTTGTGAATAAGCTAATGATTTATGGTTACTTGTTCTGCTATGAGTGAACCAGCTGTAGTTTGTTGCTCTTCTGAATGTAGAATGGAGGGCAGGGCCAGGGTTGCTTTGCCAAGCCCAGCATTGCATTGGAAAGTGCAGCAGGTTCCTCACGCGTCACACGTGGTGGCTTTAAAATGAGCCAGCTGGTCACCATAGCATTCAACTCCTGCTGTAATACCCCATGCAACGTGCTTCTTTTCACTGAAATGTTCCACTGGTTAAGGCAAGGAAAATGTTTTTAAAGTATCTGCATTGAAGTGGCTCCTGACTCTAGAGTCAAATCCGCAAGTCTGAAATTTGGTGAAGTCCTCAGTGAAAAGCTAATGAGCTGTGTCATAAAAATCACAGAATAATACAAGTTGGAAGGGGCCTCTTAAGATCTTCTGATTTAACCTTCATGCAGAGTGGGGCTAACTTAGGTGGGTTTTGCTTGAATTAAGACCTTAGTATGGTATGGTGGATAGAGTGCTGAACTTGGATGGCAAATACCTGGGTTATCTTCCTACTTGATGATTGGGGGCAAATCGTTTTACATGACATTTCTGTGTAAACTGTCCATTGATTCAAACTCTTGCAGATGAGAACTGTTGTAAGAGCTACACATTTTGATAATGGTCCAAACATTCTTCTTAGATAAGCAAAAAAACAGTATAAGGACAGTTGTAGGTCACTTGTCTGATCCCCCTAAAGCTAAAAGGAAATCTTCAGTCCTGTGCTAGGTCCTACAGTAATAACGGACCTTTTTTGTCCCTTTATTAAGACAAGAGGATTCTTTGAATTTAAAATTAACCTTTGCACTAGAAGCATTAGTTCTTGTTTTCAGAAAAAACACGTACTCTCCAACAAGAATCCTTTTCAGGCAAACAAGTTCAATCTGGAATTTCCTGGTGGTGCAAGAGTGTTAGCTTACAAAAATGTCCATCCTTCCTGAGCACCTTCCAATCCCATTGATTTCAGCTAGCTTTAGCAGCAAATCAGCGTAACACCAGCTTTGATGAATGATGGACAACAGAGCCCTAAACTAATGGGAAGTCAGTGGGAGCCTTGCCAGTGGCCTCGCCAGCCTTCGCACAAGGCCATAGAAGCGTTTCCCCTTCCTCTAAAAAATACCAGGAATTCTCCTGGCATGAGGAAGTGGCTTTCTGTGTCCCATATGAAATAGTTTTGGGTAGACTCTGGCTCTTACACTCCCTGAGACTCTCCAGCATTTTTTCTCTTTTTTATTTTTTTTAATTTTCTTCCCAGGTTATGAATATGATGCAGCCGTTCAGTTCACCCTGGAAACACTTCAAATGCTCATACAACCACAAGGACTGGTTGTCCGATGGCTACTGTGGCTCCACTCTCAAAAAACAAGAAAACTGCCATTTCTAGTTCCAGCAAGGACGGGACGTACATGGACTTCATTCACTGCTCTCTCTGTAGAAGCTCTCAGGATCAGAAGACAGAAAGAAGCAAAGTATACCTGTCAGGTTGGGATTAATGCCCTTAAGAGATGGGGTGGTTTTTTGTGATGCTGCTTAAGCCTGTTTGTTAGCAACTTTGCCCTGCGTTCTTTTACAAACTGATATCAGACATTATAATGAATAGCCATTCCTTATGAGGTCGGCCTCTTGAGCCTCATCACCAGCTCATGAGATTCACTCAGGTTCCCCTCCCAGTCTAACGCGGTGAGGGCTGTATCTCGGACACCTAAGCTGCATGGCATGGTGGCTTCCCCCGGCACTGTCCATCAGCCCTGCCTGGCATCCAAGGCTGCAGGGCCAGAGAGCCACAGCAGTGCTTTAATTTAGGAAAGGCCATCTGTAATTAGACACCCACAAAGTGGCTCCCCCAAAACAGATTGGGACCAGGACCTATCTTCTGCCCAGTAATGCAATGATGCAGCTGCTTTGCCTGCCATCTGACAAATTGCCACACCGCTGCACAGGCCAGCGGAGAAGGATAGAAGAGGTCTCCTGACAGAGTATTTTAATGGTGGTTTGTTGTTGCCACTGTGAACTACAATACAGAAGTATGCTGCATACGCAAATCTGTTTAGCAAGTTGTTGCCCTCCCCCGAGCGTATCAAGGATCATAAATCTCAGCTCTCACTGTATTATAATGATTTGCATTCCTTTTTTTTTTATATCAAGGATCATAAATCTCAGCTCTCACCGCATTATAATGATTTGCATTCCTTTTTTTTTTCCAGGAACACATGTAGTCTTCTGACAGAAGCATGCATTTTACACCATTTCACAGATGTTAGACCTCTGAAGGTAAAAAAATTTGAATACTTTGTTGTAAGATCTCCTAGACGTGTAGGTAGGCATCATACTGTTTGTAAGACTTCCTTTTGAAGGTATCCTGGGAAAAAGGAGCCCTCGTGTGGAATTTATAGCATCTTAAATGATGGTTAAATTGTGGACCTTTCAACCGTAAAGATGTTTCCTGATTTCATTCTTTGTGCCTAAGATGCATAGATGCAAGAATAAAAACTTGAGTTCGAGAGTCCAAAATCACTTAGATGGGAGAGAACATTGGTTCACGTTCCTTCCAAAATACCTTGGTTTGGAAGTTTGCTTTGGGATGTTTGCATCCGCAGGAAATCCCGTTGTGCAGGTTTGCTAAAGTAATTTTAAAATGTTTTATTCATATGTGAAAATACATTCATTCAAGTGACTAGCTCATTAAAATGGATCTCCAGCAATACTAATAATACAATTGGTAAAGGACCACTGTAAAGTCAGTACTCATTTAATAAATGATACTCGATTAATCATTAAAAAGGAATTCAAGGTGGCTGGGGACTAGAGTATCAAATAATTTGTGAAATAACTCTAAGCCATCTTATTTCAGATTTTTGTACCATAACACTTTTGCATGGATTCGCAGCTTAGCTTTCTAACACAATACAGATGTGAACAACAGACAGGGATTATAGCCCTTTCATATGAAATAGGCTCTACTCTCCAGATGGAAATTTGTCAGATTCCTCAGAACTAAGAAACATCCAAAAGACACTAGTTAAGAAACTCGTCAAGAATGAGCCACTTTTAATGATCTGTAACCACACAGGAACAAATAAGTCTTTGAACAGTGTCCAGTTGTTTGTCTCTAAAAGATGGGGACTCAGCTGAGAAAACTGATTTTTGGACACCACTAGAAATAGCATACTCTTAACTAGATCATTTGTACTTTTTTCATGTAGCATAGCTTTTTCGGACATCATACTAAACAAAGCACTCGCACCGTCACACTGAAAAGGACATTAAATCTAAGAAGGAACAGTAATATTCTTACCTAAACATATAATAATTCAACCATTCTGACTTTGCATCCTACCACCAAAAACCTAAGTTCATTAAAAACAGTGCTTAAATGTGGTTTTAACTGATGTTACACTATGCCTACATATGGAAGTAGTTAGCAAGGAGAAGTTGGGACGAAATACCAATGTAAGGCTTTGCCTAAAACCCAAGAAGAATCTGAGAGAGGAAGTAGCTCAGTTAACTTATTTTTCCTCTCATTTTCCACTTTTTTTCCTCCCTGCAGTTCCTTTGATTCATGCCCATAAATGGACATACCAAAAGCCACCACATTCTCACAGTGTTTTTCAGCCTGCCTGGAACCAGGAAATACCAGGAATTTCTTCAAGAAACCTGTTCCCAAACTGGACTAAAGCCTTCAACACAGTTAGTGTTTGAACAGAGTTTAGAAGCATGACTAAGGTCCCGTCTCCACTGCACAATCCAGCATTGCTCCTGCATCAGAGAGCAACTGCTTGCAGTCATTACCGCTAGCCCTGGCCGTTTCGGTTCTTCTCTGTGCTGGTCCAAGCCCATACCCCCTGAGCAGTGAATGTGGGATGCTTCTGAACAGCTCCCCCCAAGAAACCTCTGACTGCATATTGTGGCAGCATTCCTCAGCTCCTGGCTGTTATTGGGGCAGTGCCAAATGCAGGAGTATTTACGTTTGCTTAATGGTAAGTAAATCCAACCCTAATAGTAGTATAATAGTGTTTATGCTGTGAGGAACAAAGCATTTTACAGCCTCACGAGCAGGACCAAAAGGTTGCTAGCGCGGTACTGCAGTGTAAACACAATCCAGTGGTGCCCCCATTCATTACTCAGCCCCATTAATTGGGCCACTGAAAGAAATGCACAATCCAAAGAAATGTTTGTTGTTTTAAATTAGTCCTATTAAAAGCAGGTATTTAACAGCTTTCAGCAGCCATGAAATATGTTTTCCTGCTCCTGAGCTAAATGCTAAGAACCAGCTTTTCAGCCAGTTTTCAGGACTTAGGTCAGCCTAGCTAATTGAGATAGCTGCAGTCACACTGGTTTAGACCACCTGTGGCCCAAAGTCCTGAGGCTGTACGATGTTAACGGGGCTGTGTGCCTGGGAGGGCTCCCAAGAGGACACAGGCTGGCTCCTGTGGCAATTGCTGGACAATAAGCACTTGCAGGAGCACAAATTGCACAAGAAAGTACACTGTAAACGGCTAAAAGTACAACCTACTCAGGAAGTGACAAGCCAGTGTATCTGGTAAATGAATGTGATGGACGAGGATTCAAAATAGATCTGAAATCTCTTCAAGTTTGAGACAATAAAACGTCGGGGAAGGTATTAAATATAATCTTAATACACTGTGATATGGTATGGTGTTAATTAGTAAATGAATGTGATGGACAAGGATTCAAAATAGATCTGAAATCTCTTTGTTTGAGACAATAAAATGTCGGGGAAGGTATTAAATATAATCTTAATACACTGTGATATGGTATGGTGTTAATTACACTTCCTTAATTACATATTTCTTAAATTATGCAGTTAAAAAAAAGTCTTT